AAGAAGTGGGAACAGAACTGCTATGATGACAGATAGGACAATAACGCCAATGTTACAAGATTGACAGATGGTAGTCTCCACATCAAGAAGCATCGTAGGTGAGCTTTCTTCTATACATGCTTGGTCAGGTGCTAAATTGCCGCTTTGTTTTCCATTAGTACAAGAAAAGTTTTTTTCTAAGTCATCTGCTTCAACAATAAATGTATAATTTAAATATATGTAAGAATAAGTTGTAACTGGGATTAGGTTTTCAATTTCTTCTCCATTCCTTGACCATTGTAGTTGAACCCATGGATTACCAAGTTCAGAGTAACAAGAGAGAGTGACATTTGAACCAATTAATGCAGATGAAAAATCACATGATTCACAGATTGGATACAAAGAAGATGGAGAATAGTGAGCTACCAGGATGAAACCACTTGATACTAGCACTGCCTCACCTGTGCTCTTAAGAGTTACTTCACAGGTGTAAATGTTACCATTAAGCAGACCACCAAGATCATGACCTCTCACCTGTGTTATTCTTACATCACTTGTGCTGTCGAGTATGTAAGCTTCTGCCTCTCTTCCTAGGTCATTATTTATCAGCATACCATCTCTGTAAATAACTGTCCTATCACCGGTTATTGTTTCTCTATACCAAGAGATTGAGTAGTCATCAGTTAGGTTCACCACTGGACAGTTAAGATCAACAACACGTCCTTCATGTATTATAGCAGATCCAATAGAAACACGACCAAAGGATGGAGTGCCCTGTGCAGAAAGAACCAGGACTAAGCATATAATTCCAATACTGTACAACATATCCAAACTGTATATAAACAATGAAAACTTAAATTCTGTATACTTCTATCACAACATTTTTGTGTAGAAATCAGTTGTCCGAAGCTTTTTGTGCAGCAATCAGTTTTCTGAAGCTTATCACCACTCAGTTATTGAGCTAACAGTGTTTTGGTACTAGTTTTAAAGCTATATAATTCCTGTGTTATAATTAAATTGTGAATGTTATATTTCCTGCTTCTTTGAAATGTACATAGTCGGTTACATTTGTTTTTATTATTTGCATTGTACCTATGACTCCTTTAACAAATATTATTATAGCCACTCTAGCCACTGCATTCTGTAATCTTTTAGTACAAATGATCTTCCTTGAATAGATTTTTTTTTAATTCTGAGCTGCTTTAGTATTTCCCTTTTCACACAATTCACATCCTTATACACTGCTTATTTTATTGCATTTCATTTCCTTTATTTTGTTTTTAAAAAACTTCATATTCATGGACAGGAGAAAATACAAAAACAAAAATATGTACAAATAGATAGAAACATTATATTCATGAAATAAATATAACTCCAAGTTAATTGTAATTATAATTTATTAAAAACTATACAGTATTGCATATCAAGAGAAGAAAACATAAAAATATTCATATTTAATAATGAATACTGTAATATTTTACACCCAACTCAGAGGGCAGTATAATACTTTGGTATAATTATAGAGAAAATAGTAGAAAAAGTAAGACATCAGTGGCAACTAATGTGGTCACTCAAAACCATGTCCTGTCTGACCTATATGTTATAGGGACTTGAAATATAAAAGCTAATCTAATTTATATGATAATAAATCTAACTAAGCAAGTTGTAATTTACAGAACATTTATTCTAACAAAACTGGTGGTTTCAAAGATAGGGCCTCAACTGATAAAAAAATGTTAATTGTAGGTATTACATCTATTTTGTATAGAAGGGTGTTTGTCTGTTTAAATTATATAGTTTGGATACGGTTCACATTGCCAGGCATGCGATATTTGATTCTGGGTAGATATAGTATAAGGCCCAAAAAATTGTTTGTTTGCCCTTTAATTAATGCTGAAAATTGTATAGGAGTGGGCACAGAAAGTTTTTTTTTTCCTGTCACCAAAATTCAATTCAAAATTATTGCAATATGCCTGTCTCACTACAGTATTTGTTTTTCAAAGGATTCATCAGACTCAATGAAAATAACCCATAATCAATATATATGAGATATATGTGGGGATTTTGAATGTATTTGAATTTTTTGTTGTTTGTAATCTTGAATTTTTGTACTACAATAATTTCAGACTGGTTCTATTTTTTGTATTTTACCATATACCAGAATAAATAAATATAAATAAAATATTGTAATAAATTTAGGCCTACTGTAGAATGGCGATACCTTACATCAGACACCAAATTTAGACAACTTTCATGTGCAAAATGGAGCAAAATAAAGACCACTTTCTTAAATTTGTAAACAAACAATCGAAAAAAAATAAAAAAATTTGAAACACTGCCCCTATTTTTCAGTGAGCTAGGGGAGGGCAAACAAACAATTTTTTTTTTGGCCTAATAGGCATTTGCCACTGCCTTGAACATTCCATTCCAAACATCATCCAGTCATTAAGAACAGTTTCTTTCATATGGTGTGGCATTTTCAACAATTTCTAACTCACAATCATATCTCATAATAAATAAAGTTGTCAATGGTCTCAGATTCGGCAGAATCCCTGTTCATATATTCATTTGAAGGCTTTGTAGCCGAACGAGGCAGATTTGCATAATCCTGTTGGTATTGGTAATTTGGTTGCTTTGTAGCTTGGGCATATTCATTATATGATGCATTTTCAATTGTAAATTCACTTCTGGTGTTTTTCTCTTGGTTGTTTGCAACTCCCTCATCTGTAGAATGTCGATACGTGTTAGTTTCTACTTGTTTTTTGTTTCTTCTGTAGAAACATACACCAATAAATAAGCAGAAGGCTAAGAATAAAACAGCTCCAATGCTAGCCCCCACCACAGTTTGTAGTCCTATTTTATCAGATGCAGGTTGAACCTCTGTATCAGTTGGAAGGACAGTAACAGTGGTAGATGATTGATGCATACCAGCGTCAAGAGGCGTTGTTGGACAACCTTCTGCACTTACTTGGTCAGATGCTAAATTGCAGCTTTGTATTCCATTAGTACAATTAAAGTTACTTCCTAAGTCATCTGCTTCAAGAATAAATGTATAATTCAAGTATATGTAAGAATAAATTGTGATTGTTTTTAGGTTTTCAATTTCTTCTCCATTCCTTAACCATTGTAGTTGGACATGTGGATTACCAAGTTCAGAGTAACAAGAGATAGTGACTTTTGAACCAGTCAAATTAGATGAAAATTCACATGATTCACAGATTGGATACAAAGATGATGGGGAATAGTGAGCTACCAGGATGAGACCACTTGATACCAGCACTGCCTCACCTGTGCTCTTAAGAGTTACTTCACAGGTGTAAATGTTACCATTAAGCAGACCACCAAGATCATGACCTTTCACCTGTGTTATTCTTACATCACTTTCATTGCGGAGTCCGTAAGCTTCTGCCTCTCTACCTAGGTCATTATTTATCAGCATACCATCCCTGTAAATAACTGTCCTATCACCAGTTATTGTTTCTCTGTACCAAGAGATTGAGTAGTCATCAGTCAGGTTCACCACTCGACAGTTAAGATCAGCAACACTTCCACTTTCTTGTATTATAGCAGATCCACTAGAAACCATACCAAAGGATGGAGTGCCCTGTGCTGGAAGAACCAAGGATAAGCATATGATTCCAACACTGTACAACATATCCAAACTGTATATAAACAATGAAAACTGAAATTCTGTACACTTCTACCACAACATATTTGTGTAGAAATGCGTTTTCTGAAGCTTGTCACCACTCAGTTACTGGGCAAAGACTGTTTTGGTACTCCTTTTAAAGCTATATATTTCCTGTTAGTATTTATAATTCAAATGTGAATGTTATATTTCCTGTTTCTTTGAACTTTACATGCATTTGGTAACCTGTTTTGGTATTACTTGCATTGTACTTATGACACCTTCATTAAGTATTTATAGTAGCCATTCTTCTATTTTACACGAGTTATTACATGGATGAATGCACCCATCAATCCTGGTTAAAAAAAAAACAAAAGGAAATGAACTTCTTGGAATTATGTCAGGTTTAGACAGTAACGACAAAAATATTGCTGAAAAACTTGTGTGTGACCTTGGATGAAGGAAAGACATTACACAAGTTACCGGTTTTACTTGTTCTTATTTTACTCGTCCTAATGAAGGTTTGAATAGCCCCAAGACTATTATTGATTTACACATTGTTCACAATGGTGGCTACAGAGGCTTGCTGAGAGGGGATCCAACAAGTCAGACAGGGGGTCCACACCAAGTGTCCGCATATATGCCCAGGAATTGAATCCTTGGTTTAGAATGGCCCAAAGTTGACAATTCTGCTAAGGTCCTTCCCTACTCTGGCTAAGGGCCCACAAACCAATAGCATAAACATATATAAGCAACCTGCGTTCGTGGTTCAGCATTTGTTTTTGTCAGAAAAGCATGTATTCCTGGCCCTGCTATGATTGGTTGGTTGTTAAGTTTGGTTGTCACTTCAAAAGGTTCATTGTGCTTTTAAATGTTAGGCATTGGCAATCACAATAACTGGGGATCAGCAACATATTTGTTTTTAGTACTACGACCTCATCGTGATGTGGGACGACATGGGTCAATGCTTGTTTGACTTCACCTGCCACTAGTGTTGCCAAAGATTGTTTATATTTTTTGTACATGTGTTATTGTACTGTGCCTGAATATATTTTGGGACAGCATGTGTTTTTGTCTAACAAGCATGCCCTACTCCTATTGGTTGGTTGTTAAAATGAAATTTGATTGTCACTTCATAGGGTTCATCATGTCTTTTAAGTGTCAAATAACACTTTTCATCTGAGTTCTGTTCAAGTCCGCATGACCACTCACCCGGGTCCGGTTTTTTCTGGGTGCAGTCACACTTAACGTATTGCCAGCCTTGAGTTACAGGTATAGGCCTACTGCCTGTTGATTATCCTTAGTGAACAAAATGAAAATATTTATAATAAAGAATAACATAATTTTTGAGAGAATAATCACTAATTAATTTGGGTTTTTTTTGTCTTTGCAGTTGGTGGAAGGTTCCCGAATCCATCCAAAGATAAGAGTGAACAGAGGACTTCAAATCAACACAGAGAAAGTAATCAGATGCGAAAACAAATGGTACTAACCAATTTTTTTTAATTGTTTATTATATTCTTTGAGCAATGATTCAACTCACGAGGAGGAGTATAATAATAAATAATATCATTATTATTATTTGTTATATAACACACCTTAAAATAGATCCTTGTCATTTTATTGGTGGATTTCATGTTATGTGACATTGGTTATTTACACCATTCGTCACTCATCATGAAAAGTTAGTTCTACAATCTTTTCATTAGTTGAAAGAAGATGGGCTGTTCCATTTAGAAAATAGGTAGACTTAATTCTGTTTTTTTCATAACATAAAATGACAAGAATCTATTTTAGGTGTGTTATAAAGCAAATTATTTTTTTTTATTTGCGCAATGGAAAGAATATTTTTATGAGATGAACACTTGACTGTTCCATTCAACTTTCTCGGCCTCATTGAGTGGAACAGTCAGTCTTTCAACAAATGATAATATTCTTCCAATTGCACTCAAACATTAATTATATGTTTAAAAATGAACCTTCTTTGGTTGCAAAAGAAGACAACTAAAGACAAAAATATTATATTTCAATTCCAAATTTGTCTTTATAAAAATTTATTGAAGGATTGATTGAGTTGATTTGTTGCCTTCAACTGATGAAATGTTTGATTATAATAATCATTTTATTTCAAAAATTATACAATTGACTGCATCATATAGTGAAATTCAACTGGCATAAAAAAAATACTGTACTGATAAACTGTGTAAAATCAGTGAGAATAGACAATACAATTAAAATAATTAAAACCTTTTATTGCTGTTGGCAGCAAGCTTGCTTAAACAACAAAAATCAACACAGTCATTTTTAAACTACAGTAATCAATTATTAATGGTATAATCAACCAACAAAAGAGGTCTATCAGAATTGTTTTCTCAACTGAATTTTTTGAATTTAATAATTTATTTCTGAGAATATGAAAGAAATTAGCTTGGTGACAACAGAATCTGCTGTTTCAATTCATTTTCAGTCACTACCTGGAATAGAAGTGATAAAAATGATGGTGAATTCGCTCATTCTTAAGGTTTGATTACTCTACTTTTAACTTTCCAGACATCATCAAGAAACCAGGAATCAAGTGACTCCAGCAGCTCATCATCACTATCATCATCATCCAGTTCATCAGAAGATGACAGGCATTCGAAGAAGAGGAAAAAGAAGAAACACAGAAAGAAAGATGATTCATCAGACAGTGAGGAGGAATTTAAAAGAAAAGACAAGAAGAAGATGTCAAAAAAAGATCAGGAGGAGAGGGAGGTGTCCAGAAGGAAAAGAGATGAAGAGTTTGATCATGATAGGAGGAAAGATAGAGAAAAAGGAAGAAACAAAGATGGAAAAGATCATCGAAATAGAAAAAGGAGCCCAAGTCATGAAACACACCACAAAAACGACAGAGAAAGTGCCAGACACCAAAATCGCGAAAGAGAGAGAAGCATGAGTCGTGACAGGCACCAAAGATATGAAAGAGAAAGAAGCAGGAGTCGTGACAGACAACAAAGATATGAAAGAGAAAGAAGCAGGAGTCGTGACAGACAACAAAGATATGAAAGAGAAAGAAGCAGGGATCGTGACAGGCACCAAAGACATGAAAGAGATCGAAGTAGAAGTCGCGACAGACACCAAAAACGTGATAGAGAAAGAGATAGAAATAAGTACGATTCCAGGAGTCATCGAGACCGAAGGTGATAACCAAGCTTTTACTATGATGGGTGTTTTCGAAAGCTTACGTATGGGTGATGTTTAAGCATGTTAAGTCTGGTTTCCATAGAATCAACACAGTCGCTACAGCATTCTCGCATCAAACCTTGTACTGCGTCGCCAAAGGAGTCACTGATTTTTATGGAAACCAAGCTTATCTCTTGTGTATGACAAGAGTTTAACAAGTACATACTTGGGAACCAAAATTATATTCCTGCTGCAGAGTATTCAGAATTAAATCATGGGCTTCTCTGATTTGGTGGAAAGTTAAAAATAATTTTTTTAAATGATGAGGTACACAATTGGTTTACATATTCCTTATACTGTATAAAGTACAGGCTAGGCTAGATTATAAATATGCTTTTACTGTATAGTGCAAATTTTAAATATGCATATCAGTCAATTCATTTAGCTTATTTAATATCGTCAGTGGCTGCAAATTTTTTAACCAATTTCTGCCATTTAGCTCTATTTATTTATTTGAACTGGTGACGCCAAAGATTCCCCAACTAAGGTTCCGAAGTCCCTTGCAGCAGACCAGGCTCCTCTATGAGAAGTCCAAGATACCCATCTAAGATCCACCATGACTGGAACAAACTTTAAGAATAGTAAACTAGATGTTTGGAAATTGCACTATCAGGCAAAAGAATTGATTTTTCAAAGCAGTGTTCCCTGACATTTTTGGCTTCCTCCCCGATTTGTTTTCTGTTGCTCCTTGAACCCTTTGCTGGTGCTGCCCCTGCACTGGTTTGAGATTCAAAAGAATACCCGGAACACATTCAAATGCATATGTAGATACTCGTCATTACTATTTACATTATTTTTATTCAAGTTACTTTAATTTAATATATTCTGATTAACGACTAATAATGATTTAAAAATAAATAAATAAATTTGTAATTAAGTGATTCTTGTTTTTTACCTCATGTATTATTTGAGTTGAGAGCCCCTAATGAGCAGCAATGCTGGATGGGTCACCCTCTTGAAATATGGTATTAAATAAATAAATAGCATTCCTGTATTTTTAAAATAAGCTTTGAATATTGACTGGTATTCAATTTGAGGATTTCTGTAGAAAGAATTTTTGAAAATTGTTTACAATGTATGTCACATTGGAAGTTGATAATGTATTTGATCCTATTAAACATATTGAAAGAATTCTTAAGTGTTTTTTTTTTTTTTTTTTTTGGTTTTACCACAACACCGGTACAAATTGGAAACCACAGAAATCATTTCTTTATTTCATTTTACTGTACAGCTGAATCATCACACAAACACAACTATATTGCGATTTCTGCTACTTTATTATCTTCGTTTAAGAAGATAATTGTTCGATTTATCATCGACTTGAGAAGACATTTTGAATGATGGCATTTCTTTTGAATCTTGTATTGTACTTTTCATACGGAAGCCCAATATACTTCATGATGCACTAATTTGTGTTTTTGCAGGCACGAGACTTAAAAATTCAAACCTCCCTACCTGGAAATTTTATTTCCTAATTGCTCGAAAATGCATTCAGGATCTACATTTTTCCTTTTTACTTGAGAATGCATGCATTTCAAGTCATCTCCACACAATTTATTTTTACACTGTACGCGGCCTTTGATCTTTCCGACAGTGCTTTGTAAAACAACATACTGTATCTACAGTGTTTATAGTGCAGCTTGTTGGTGAACATGATGTTACCATTATATTTTAAATACTGTAGAACATAGAGAATTTTAAAATAGAAGGAGCTACAAATGATCACAAATCATACATATATTTTTATAACAGGCATTATATTTAAGCATGAGATTTAGATCCTGTGAGACTGATCCCAAATGCGTGATTTTCACGCTGAATATGTATGTGACTTCTTTAGTTCTAACTTTTGAATATTATTATTCAAATGTATTACATTGAGAATTAACTACAGTATTAACATTAACTGGATTTTAAGAACAAAATCAATGTGACAAATTGCAATTAATGTAATTATGAATTTATTTTAATTCACAAACAGTCCACATTTTTAAGATGAAAAATAAATAATACAGCATTTGAATTCTCAACATAAATCTTCAGAAATAATTGTCCAGGTTAAAGTACATAAACATTTATCACAGAAAACTTGATTGTACAGACAAACCTTAAGAACAACTCCACTCCATACACCTTGCGGAGTTTACTCATATAGTGGCGGGCCATTTGCAGTTGAATGAGTATCAAATTTTAAAATTTACTGAATACTGCTGCAATAAAAATATTAAATACTGAATACAGAATTGCATATTAAAATAGAACAAGGCCTACAGGATAGATGTGTTCTCTGTAATACTATGCGAAATACAGCATCTATGTACATTTACTGTAGAATGGTCACTACAATTAATACTCAGGAGGATGGACGTTTCCCCGTCCCTCGGATGTTGTTGCTAGGTCCGACAAAACAACAATGTTTGAGGGACAACATGCACATATCCCTTTCACTGATCCGACGAGCTCCAGAAAGGTTTATAGGCTGACGGATTAGGCGAGATTTTTTATTCCCTGTTTCGCAAACTGATTTTTTTAAAGATTGTCAGAGGAGGGCGGAAAAAAATAAAAATAAAATTTTGCTTTCTTATTTAGCAAATGGTGTTTGCCAAAAAACATCCAGATGGAGGAGAAAATAATAATAAAATGTTATTGTTGAAAGTAAACCATGTAGTAATGAGATGCTTAAATTCTTTAAATTTATAAAATTATAAAGAAAAATACATATCTTATTTTCTGAGATTTCAAAGCAGCGGCGGGTGTAATAAAAAGAAAGAAAAACTTTATTTTTTCTGAAATTTTCAAGTTTTTTGTGGCAGCGGGTGTGCTAATTGGCCAAAAATGAAACTTTATTTTTATTAGAATTCATCATCTTTGGCAAGTGGTGGGTTCGCTTGACAAGGTATAAAAAAAGTTCTACCTTAGTAGAATTTGCTACATATGCACAATACTGGGATCCACTTTCATTGATAAAATTAATACTAAGTACATTCAGATCAAAAATCGAACATTTTAACATATTAGGCCTACAATAAATTAAAATCTATACATCTGGTCCAGTAAATATATCTTGGCTATCTCTAAGTAACTAAAAATTCAGTATAAAAATTTCTTTTCTTTAATTAACTATAAAAAACTCAATATACCAATCACTTCTCCCTAAATCTCTGGCCACACACAGTACAGTACGTATTTCGCAGTTATGTATTTCGCAGTTACATCCTTCCCATAAAACCGACATTCATGGGGAAGGTGTCTGACGTAACCTCAATTTTGGGCAGAGATCAAGGGGCAAAGCACTGGTGGGGGTGCAGAGAAAAAGGTTCCTGAATCTGCTGGTTGGAAGCCCCAGAAAACACAACTTTATAGATACGAAAGGAAATAACCCAGTAAACTGCCATGTTATTACAACGTTGAAGTAAAATTAATATTGTTAGCAAGGTCTATATACTTTTTCCCACCACAAAATTAAATACTTTAGTCAGCACACCATATGAAAACATGATAACTGGTCCTTTTGTATTATACTCTCTTTATGTAGCATAACATTTTTTAATTAGGAAGATAATAAATAATAAATATTTACATATTTTTAGCACCATGTTTTAACAAACTCAAAGCATCAGTACTAGTGTCGGATGTAAGGGGGTGAACAGGGTGGCTAGCCACTCCCCTTCGGTTACCGTGAAAAAAAATGTGAGTGTGCTTCATGTGGGAATCTCAAATGGGAAGGGATACCCACCCAAAACCACTCCCCCCTCTAAAGTGCATCCCTTGGTGCTCCTCACATTATCCACCACTCATTGCTAAATCCTAGATCCACCACTGAGTACTTTACACCTTCAGCTGGGTACTCACTGCGGTAGTCGGTCGACGCGATTCCATGGAGAACGCAGCACCATGACATATGACAGTTGTGCAATGCAATGAAAGCCCGGCTTTATACTTTGCAAACTATTGTGTCGGGAAACACATTACAGTTCAAATACAAATAAGTTAAAATTCTTTCTATTATTTTTACTAACATTTCAAAACTCTATAAAATTTTGGTGGGTAAAGAAATACATAACTTTTTGTTTACCTTTAATGTGATTTGTTAAGGCCAACAAAAATGTCTTTATGCCTAAAAAGCAGAAAATACACAAATAATACAACAATTATGTATTCGCATCGCATACCATCCTGCAAAATAAGCCTGGCCAATGCTATTCCAGCCTTATATGCTCATAAAAGAATATTGTTCATTGTAGTCAAGAAAAAAAAAAGCTAAAATGCCAACCCAGAATTTTGTAAAATTTGGGTCGGTCGGGTGTGGCCTACAAAATATATATTTTTTTATTTGGCTTAATAAAGGTTCCAAAAGTTCCACTCTCGAATAAGGGCTACACAAGAAGAAGTATACAGTGCACCCTCTAATCTGAGACCACTTTTCCAAAGACCAAATAACTATCTTAACCTTTTGGTACAAAGCTAGCCCTCTAACTGACGACCAACCCCAAGACCACCCCAAATTTTCAGGTCCCGAAAGTGGTTTTGAATTGGAGGGCACACTGTATTCTATTTGGAATAAGCTAGGACTTAAATAAGAGAAAATACTGTACGTACGTACACACATTTAAAATTTTGTACAGTATCATCAAGACAATATTATAGAATTCTAACATTGCAAAACATTAGATAGGCATATGTATAATGATTAGTACTTGGTACTAGTAATTTGTGGTTTTAAATTTGTTATATTTGTCTTTTGTCAGTGTTCTATTTATAACAAAGATTGTAGTTCCAGTGGTAGTAGCAAAGCTAAGTTGAAAAACCCACATAACAAATTTTAGTTTGATAAACCTAGGTCAAAGGTTGCAGTGCGACTGTCATAACAGCTACATAGCAGACTACAGCTACAATCCAGGTTTGATAAACCATCTCAGATATTAGTCCACCCTATGTTGTACAAAGCTACGTCACAGAACGCGGTCGTGTGACAGTGTTTATGACAATCTTAGTTTGAAAAACCAAACTTGTAATTGTATAATTATCAAACTAGGTTCACCTGGACAAAACATGGCTACAACCACGATTGTATGACCTTAGGTTGAAAAAATGCATCACAGATTGTAATTCGATGCCATGGAAATAACGGTTCGACTGCAATTTATCGTTGTTTGCTATCAACAATTCCAAGTTGAATCTTGAGTTTTTGAAAGCGGTCCTTGATGTAGTAGTAGAATTCATACTCCAACGACATTTGCTTCAAAAGTATTGTTCTCACTTCGTCCGACGGTACCTCCTTGTGCTTGGTTACGGTTGCTGACCGATTACGAGTAAAAGTGTTGCCTGCAGAAGATGTATCTTAAAGATTTGGTAATCAAAATTATATAATAAAAATTGTATAATACATTAAAGGCATTAAAGATTCCGGAGGGGAAAAAATGTTGATACATGTTGTAGAATGATTTTTCTAAGACAGAAAAAAGTTGTTTTACGAAAAACTGGGAAATGGTGAATTAAGAAAGGTTAATAAATATATAAAATACAGGGAGAAAAGGTGTAAAAAAGAGCGGTTACACCTTCTTTCCCCCAGTTTTTAAATATTCAAAAATCTGTATCTCATTCACCCCAGATTTTCAGCAAACAATTTTTTCTGTCTTAGAAAAATCAGTTCTAAAACATATCAAAACATTTTTTTCCTCCTAAACCTGACTTTAAAGCACAATTACATACAGCATAAATGACAAACAATCCAGATTTTGCTGATCCCTCCATCCCCGCTGTTATAGGCCTGATCATCACAGTGATTTAGTTAGTACTAATGAGGAACAGTGTATCTTTAAAGGTGGGCACTTGCTGTGTCGCATTACTGTTGCACAACGAATCAAACGCCACTCACTGTGAGCCCTAGACGACGCGACGCCAGTGGTCGTCTGAACGGATCATCATTAAAAACGATCGTTTGGGTGCACGTCGTCACGTTACGTTCTTCATAAAATCGCGTCAGCTGACGACGGTCATGTGCAGTGTTTGCCCAGCCTAACATATTATTTTTGTCAGTTTTGTTCACTTACCTGGAGATCTCAAATACTCCACTGCTCCAGTAAAAAAACGTGGTAGCATTTTTTCTAAGACTGCAAACGTGTCGTCCAACTCTTCCAGAACTCCCACCACTATAAAATCACGCTCTACGTTTAGCTTAGCCATTTCTAATGGTGTTCTACCTGGCAACCTTAAATAATAACACATTAAAATATATTTTCATTTATTTATTGTTTAAATAAAAGTCATTGCTTGTCTATTGGTTCCTTTCTTGTGCCCAGTGAAAATGTAAAAAATTTTAACTGTGTATTGATATACTGAATTTTGAACCTCCATTGTAAACAGGCCATGGCGTGGCACACAATGCACATGGCCGTAGGGTGCTGAAGTGTGCAACTAAAGAAAAACAAAAATATTTTTGTTTTTTATGAAAACAAAAATAAGATTTCATCGGAATAGAGAATTATTTGCATTCCCCCTCCCCAGGCCAAAACCAGTCTACACCCCTGGTTGAAAAACATGCAAAGAGGGTATTCATTTTTACAGGTAAAATAAATATAAAAATCAGGCAACCTATACAGTAGATTTAAAGCCTTGGACACCAACTTGTTACGTTCAAAGAGAGAACAAGTGTTTACAAGACTGATCGTTTTTTGCAAACTTTGGATGGGCTTCTTTTCAAGATGGGCTTCTTTTCGAGACTACTTTTGCAAAGCAAAGACAGAGGCTTCTTTTCAAAATGAATGCTGTAAATTTTGTGCATTTGTACTATAAAACAATAAATAAGGCAACTGTAACATCAATCTGTATCATGGAGTGTATTTAACTGGCATCACCTAAACTACTGTATAAACCAAGCTTTTTTTTTTTCTTTTTTTTTTTTTTTTTT